CCGCGGCGGTCGCCGGCTGAAGCGCGGTCAGAGGCAGGCACTGACCGAAGACGTCCCCGGTCGCCTCACCGCCTAACGACTTTAACACGTTAACGTTGCATCAATCCCGCCTCCTGCGACTGCGAGACCATCCGTAAGTTATTAGAAGTCGTCGTTTTGGAAATAACAATGATCAAGTCGCAAATTTACAAATAAACCCACGCCGCTATCCTCGCCCCAGCAGCCACAAACCTAAATTTTTAGACAATCCCAAAGATGACAGTTTTTCCCTAAAGACCAGGGATTTTTCCTCCAGTTGTCTGTGCACGAACAGTAGGAAAAACAATGGCGGTAGCAGCAGTTCCATTCACTCTGCAGGGAGAGAGGACAGCCAGGGCACCGGGGGCTGTTTGGGCAGAAAGCAACTCCTGTACCCCAGCTCTACCTTCCCAATCCAATTTTCACAGAAGTAAACAGTTATAGCAGATACTTTCTTCAAAAGATACAATGTATTTCTCAGGTAATGCAAAATTTCCACCTGGGAATCAGCATTCCTCTCAATACTACTAGGATTTACAGAACAAAGTCTCTTTGGCAAAATGCCAGCACCAGCCAGCTCGCCTGCCTGCACTTGCACTACGCAAAGCGGGTCTATCACAGAAGAGATTACAGAAACACTCTGCGGTTCCTAACTGGATTTTTGATTTAAGCAAGTCCCGTTAGTAGACTGTTAACCGTGCAACTTCAGTACAGACACTTCACTGTCTGCACATTTTTTAAGTTATGCTTCACATCACTTACGTCTTTCTTTTTTTGCTTTTGATGAGACGTGGAAGTTCCTGAATCACGTACCTGGTATTACAACTTGGAAAGTTTTACACAGCCTCATTTTGACTGACTGTGCTGCTGAAGACAAAACAGTGAAAGAACAAAAAAAGGCAGCTTTCGAAGGATGTTTTCGTTGCTGTTGATGTGAGAAGGGTTCTTCCACGCCAGGAGAGAATGGATTTCAGATGGAAATCTGTTGTTTATTACTAAGGACTGACAGTAAATGTAAAAGGACCAAAATTAAAACAAAACAAAACTGTCTCAATTTATCCAATGATGAACAGATCCACTGATGCATTTTGCAGTATCATCCCCAAAACTCATTTTTGCAGCCTGTCAGAACGAACATCCTAACTTTGAGAAGCTACACTACACAGAGAGATCCTTAATTACATAGAGAGATGTGTTTTTTCAAAGATGTAAGAATGGCACTGTTTGCATCAACCTTTATTGGCTCTGAATAAAATGTTGTCTTGAAAGCCTCCAAGTTCAGATTCTAAAGAAGAGCAATTAGAGTTTAGTCCCAAATGCATAAAATTTTCAACTAAATGTTACACAAATAACATTTATTTTTTCCACTGTTTATATTCTTACTCAAATCTAAAAGCCAGCAATCATGAAAAGAAGACAAGAACTCTACGCAGAGAAACTCTACACTGACACATGGACAACACAAGGACACCAGTGACACCATTACTTCCTTTCTATGAGGGAAGAATTTTTTTGTATTTTCAGCATTCACATATAAACTTCAAATCCTGAAAATAAATACCTGTCTCAGAGTGCTTCACAAGCACCCCAAAGAAAACTATCTACAAATCATACATTCAGCTACTCCGTCATTTTCAACACTTCCAACAATCGTCACTTTTACAAGTCTGAACTTTCACAGCTGGGAAAGTTGTGTGTCAGCTACATATTTAAGGAGCGATAATGCTTATCATCCGAATACACTTTCCACTATCACGTGGCTTTACCAAATACTGTTCTACAGACAGGAAAAGCTTAAGAGATGTGTGCAAAAGAATCACTGTCAGACTTGATTCATGGCTTCCCTACCATAGGATCATACCATTACTTTGAAACCAACTCAAAACCAGTCACCAGAGTACAGTTTGAATACTGACAGTGGAATTCTGGTCCCCACACAAATCAGTAGGAAGAAAGACCAGAATTTCACCCCTGATATATAAAACCTTGTAGAGAAACATTAGTAAATAAAAGTTTTTAAGAGTCAGGAAAAACTATACAAAAAAAATCCTTGTAAGTCATAAAAACCATTTCAATGTGAAATTTGTAAAATATCACCCTATTTATTCTCTAGGCTTTTCTAGCAACATATGACTTTATCATAACATATCTGTAGAAATCTGATGATTAAGAAACAGTAATTTTTCTTAAATGTAGTTACTTAAACATTTGCCAGTTTGGAAAGTTGAGCTGAAGTCTCTTTACAGAGCAAAAAATTGCACACAATTTTCAACCTTTTCACTTCTGATTCTCCACGTCATTGAGGGTATGGCACATAACAGTCTGGAGGGGAGCCAATGCTGCTCACTGGGCTCCGGGTATTTGACTCGTAAGAATTTGGTGCAATTCCAACCACACCATCATTTTGAGGGGTTTCTCCTTTCAAAAAGTCATCATCTTCATCTTCAGAAGTACCCTGCATAAATTTAAAAGGATCAGCGAGAGCAGAAAGATACTCCAGGTCTCTATTAAGATTTGGCAGAAGTAATGAATGCTGAGACCAAAAAGGGTATTTCTAAATTCTGAAATGTTGCAATAATCAAATCTGCTAATCAAAATGCTATAGGAAAGTTTACAAAGTTACCAGCTAACAAAGCTACACGACCATAAAGTATTTTTACATGTTATCACAGGAAGGAAAGAAAAACACAATGTTTGAAGAACTCAAACAAAAATCTGACATAGGATAGACATTCTGCAAGAAGGTAAACAGACTACATAGGAGCTTTAGAAGTACGTAATTCAGGACTTGGGTTGTACTACAATTGTCATGACTAGTTGGAATGGTAAGAACTAGATGTACCCTCATTATGAAATACGGGAACTAAATGATATCTGCAAAGTGGGTTTCCCAGAGACATCAGCATGTCTATATTCTGAGAGCGTTCATGAGCGTTCATAAGCATTCACAGTGGTCCTGTGCTGCCAAACTACCTCCTCTCCAGAAAAAGGGGAAAAGTGTTCTCAAAGCAAGGATGGATCAATCCCTAAAGCCTCCTAATTTCAATCAGTCTTCCATAAACGTTTAGTGTACTCATATCTACTAAAAAAATTAATCCTACAATAGAAACAGCTGATAGAGATTTGGCAAAAGCTCAACTGCATTTGATCAGAAAAGATTACCCTTTTAATGGGTTTCTTCAGGTTCTCAAGATCTTCAGCACTCAGCTCTTCCCAAAACTGATAAAAAGGATCAATAGTCTTCTTTGATCTGAAAGAGGAATTAAAACACAGTAGAAGTTAAGGTATTCAGTAGAAGTCATATGTATTTCATTTTAATAATACAATATAAAATGCTTGGCATTTTGATAGCCCTCTGTAGGGTTTCACAAACTGTTCAATTAATCCCTATATAACCCCCAATCAATCCCATGAAGAAATAACTCCATTTTGCTGATAGGTATAAATTACAATTGTTTGCTTGAGGAGTTCTGATAGTCAGGTCTCCTAATTCCTAGCTGGGTATTTTTAACAGCTACACTATGCTCGCTAATAAGCATAATTTTCTTCCCAACTTTTAGAAGATACTATTATATGGCTGCTTTTAATAATTTCTACTTATAAGAAAGGTCTCCCTTCCGTAAAGACAGAATTTTTTTTTAAGAGACAAAAAAAGCCAGAATGTTGCCTTCTAACATTAAAAATAAAAAGTGATTAAAGCATCATAGTGCTAGACATTTTGAAAAGCTGCAAATAATCCACTATTCATTAAAAAAGCAAGGTATTTTAATTAAGCTGAAGTCTCCAATCAAGAAGCAATACACTCAAGGTGCAAAAAAAACCCCAAACCAAAACAAAGCAACAAAAAATGACAGCTCAAAACCGTCACACCTTCAACAAAATATGTATTAGGCTAACATTACGATATTTTAGAGACAGCTTAAAACAAGGAAAGCCAAAAGAAAAGTCACCAAACATATTAAGTAGACCTTCCAAGAAACTGGGTCCTGTTCCTTCTTCATTGCTATATGTCACAGTGGGGGTAAATTTCAATTCAAACCTTTGACAATCTCTGGTTAAAATATGCAACATGAAAAGTACTAAATATCAGTGAAGAAAGTGAACTGTAGAAACACTGATGGTTTCTTACAGTTTTTGATTCGTTATTTTCTACAAGGCAGAAACAAGTTGATTATTTTTAAACTATACCTTTTGAGCACGTAGGGGTCAAAGGGGAAGAAACTGTCAAGTGGGTTAGTGCATGTCTGCACAAGGTCACCCCCAGTGCCACTCCGAACAACTGGTATGAACTGCCTATTGTTCCTCTCAATAATTGTGTAGCAGAACACCAACTGGTACTTCCTTTAAAAAGGAAATAAAGAAAAGATAAGCATTTCTAGCACACAGAAAGCAAAAATTTCAGGTGGTATTAAAATACAAAGTTATTTTTTAACAAACACCACTTCCATCTTCCAACCGATATTAGGAGTTTTCAAGACAGTCACAAGGTAAGGAGTCTATTATCTTCCTCTGCACTCCTATGAACTTCACTCCAAGTAGAATCATATTGGCTCCAACACAAAGCAATCAGTTTCATAGTACTGTAGGATTTCACTGAAACTGAACCAGAAATAAACTTATCCCACCTAGAATGTGGGCAATGCTATATGCGTTCTCTTGGATAATACTCAATACTGTGCCTAACAAAACCCATGTTCTAAATACTGTGCTGTTTTTAGATACACACACACACTCATCAAGCTGAAATTGAAATAAATGAGTAGGTACCTGGTAATGGCAGCAAACAAGTTCACAACCGAGGGTATACAAATCTTCAGAGGGTTTAGCTGACACATGACAATGCGCTCAAAATTTAAACTCTGCAGATATGACAGACCTTCAAAATAAGAACAATTGCCAAATATAGGTTATATATTATATAAGCTTAACTTAGTTTCTAAGAATTTCCAGTCTGACCAGCCTGCACTCTGCACAACACCACAGAAGCACGTCCTAGGATGCTCTCTTACAGTAGAGATCTAGCCCACAGCTTGTTCAGCAGAAAATCTACTCTAAATAATGGTAGCCACAGCCGAGGGATCCTTCTAATACAGACACTACACTTACACACCTATTACAGGAACTGATAGAGGGAGGCACACAGTCATCAAGAAAGATTATTAATTGAAGCCCACACTAGTTTTATACAGCTGGAATTCAAACATGCTCAGTAAGTGGGGGCCAGAAATCAACGTTGAGGAGTTATCTGCATTGCTTTCAACAGTGGCGAAAAACAAGATTATTTAGCTTGGTAGCCCAACAGATGTACAAGCCACCTCATTTTATTTAGAGCACAACAACATAAACTTGCCACCAGATACTTGACTGAATTGACCATTACAAAACACACCAACAGTAAAACTCGCAAATGAATCTCAATACAGTTCAAACCTAGTATACTCACCTTTCCTTAAGTTGCCATCCAAAAGCTGCTTATGACGGAAAATAAGCGTATAGAACACCGCCTGACATGTAGAATAAAATGGCCCGTGGAGAGCTACATCACAGTAAGCATTAGCCCCTGTATCCTGATTATCAATGTATTTATGCATCCAGTTAACCAGAAGATCCAGGCATGCTTTTACTGTACTATAATGAAGGAAAAAAACCAAGTGTAAAAATAGCACCTGAAATGGTGTAGAAAAGATATTAAACAAGTATTCAAGGATCTCAGTTGTTACAAAAACATCAGTAAGAAAATCTCATTGTTAAAAGGAGATTCTGTTATGAGCTTTCTCCTTCATCTCAGCATCAAATGAATCAATGTATCAGCACCGAAAACCCGAATCAGTGAAAGCACAAGATGCTAGAAGAGATGAATCCATGAGCACATGTTGTGTGTGAAACACACAGTAAACAATTAGAATCCTGGACTACACGCAGTACAGAGAGAGATGCCTCCAATGTCCAATAAGTAATTCCAGTATCAAATTAAGTTCAACGTTAAAGTCACTGAGCCCACCCTGAAAGGCATAAACATACAGAATGTGTACATACAAAAGAAGACATTTTCACCCATCTGCCAAAGTATTTTAATCCGTCTGTATCAAAATACTTGAACACTTGACTTCCCTGTCTCAGAGTCTACATAAAATGCCTAACATAGGGCATTAAAAATATCTGCTTCTGAACATCAGATATACCAGGCATCTATGACTCCACCTGAAGTCACCATAACATACCCGTGCTCAGCATTTCTTGGCAAGTGAAGCCTTAAACAGCAAGTCATAAATCCCAGCAATCATTAGTTTGCACCCTGTAAATGCAAAACTTTCCTGGAAACTCCAAGACAATACTGAAACAGTATTGTAGAAAGGACAACCAAGACTACTGATATAGGCTTACTGGCAAAGCAGTGGGAATAGAAGACCAACACTGTGTGTGCATTCTGTGAATTCTGTACTTAACCTCAGCAATCATCATAAATCATTTGGTTCTGCTCATATATCAAAACAACTTACACAACTGGAATGAATTTAGCTCTTGCCAAGAAGCTGCCAATATAACTCCCAGCAGTCTGCCTGATCACTGAAGGATTGTTTGGATCATGCAGTTTTTTCCAAAGATGGTCTAAAAATGCCTCAGCCAACCCCTGGAAACAAGATACATAAAAATCATGAGTTGTTATGCCGACAACACTGTTTAAGTAATAGATTCTTAATACTCAATTCCCACAATTTCCATAACCAAACCATAAAAAAAATTCTACCTATAACTGTAGTAAATAACTATTCCTACACATGATGGAAAAGCACTCTTTTCTGTGTCTTTTTCTATACTTAGTTGTAAAAAGTACATGGAGGCAGAAGTCTAGGAAAAAGTCAGGAATAGATACACGAGAAGTGTTTAAAAACAAGAGCAGTAAGAAGGTAAACATGAAGTGACTGTTCACTGTCTCTTGTAGCAGAAGAGGTCAGGGACTTCCAATAAAAATAGCAGAAAGCCGAATTTAGAGAAACAAAACTGAGTCACCTTAAATGCCTGTATTGTGGAACTTTTTGCCACAGAAGTTCATGATGCCAAAACTATCAGTACAAAAAGCATAATATCATGAGGTATTTTCTCCTTGAATTTGTCCATCATGGGCTGTTACCATGAAAGCACTTCACTTTGGCTCAGGAAGTTACTGGACTCCTGCTGGAAGCTGAAAGGGTATTCTAGCAAAGCATCGTAACATGCTTGCCCCATTCTGATATTCTTTCCAACACATCCACTATTCACCACTGTCAGAGATAGGCCATTAGCTTAACTGGGTATTTAGCTACTCTTATGCAAAAAGTACACATGTTCTTATTTTTATATGGTAAGAGAAAGAACAATAGTTTGCTTGAGATGGGAAAATAGCAGACACAAATTTCAAATTGAAGAGCTAACACAGACAGTATCTTTAAGATAGTTCTGGGATGCTGAAGAAACTTGCTGGAGCACTGTGTCTCAGGTTCAAGAGTCCAACTGATTCTTTTAAAAGAGGTCTGTTAACCAAGTTCCTTCACACTAGCTTAGATTCCATCTGTTTGCAGTTTACGAACAACATGGGAAGAGCAACCGCCTAAAGAAAAACTTGAAGAAAGGAGTAACAGAGAAGGAAAAGAAAGCAAAGATACTAATGAATCCTGATGTACTATCTTCAGACTAGAATTACAGCAGAAAACAATTATTTTTTGTAAAAAAAGCCAAAACAAGGATGCAGAAATGACAGAAGACACTGCATTTAAAAACAGCTTCTACTCACCAATTTAAAGCTACAGATGTAAAACATGAAATACTGTACATGACATGAAGCATGGGTTGGTAAAATGAGCTTGTCAAAAACAGAAACCAGATCCCGATACAAATCCTTTGTGTTGTTGATATCAAGCTTGCCTACACAACAGAAAAAGAAAACAGAAAAAAATAAGCCGTTTCATTTTTTTTTCCTGCCCTCATCTGCAAAAGTGGCATTTATATCTTTCCAAAGCAGTAAGCAATATGTAAAGAAATACTGTCAAGCTGACTTCTAGGCTTATCTGACATCTAAAAAATATCTGACATCTAAAAAGTAAGACCTTCCAGGACTTCAGTTCTACTGCTTTTTACATCGGTGTATATGGACAATATCTGTGTGCGCGTGTGCACACATCTATAAAACTGGCAGACATGCAAACTTTGCAATAATGTGTTAATTCAGAAGAGCCAGAAGAAAACAGTAAGAAATAAATGACCTGACTTGCGTGAAGAAGATACAGCAAAATGGTTTCTAAATATTCTGTTTTAAATATTTATAATATTCTGTTTCTTAAATAAATTTAAGAAATTCAAACCCTTCCAGTGTAAGACATTTCTTTCAGGTTTTTCTCCTATAACACAAAGCCTTGCTGTAGCAATTCCAATTGAGTGACATGGCTGGTTGCTTTAATCTACTTCCAGTCCTTGTGATGTTGAAAGGATCCGTAATTCTAATACTCAAAGCAATACAATAGAGCAAATGATAAAACACTGTGGCTGATCAGAAAGTATTTCTAATCCCCTAAGTTTTGTAGCACAATGAAAAAATAAAACTCTATTTACCCTTACACCCTGTAATGCCATAGTTTGGATACAGTGTCATATTTATATAATCAAAATGTCTCCAACTAAAGACTAGACCTTTAAAGTCATACATATACCTTTGCATCCTCTGCCAGTAACACTGGGCAGAGGCAGGAATGTGGCCTACGGCCTGCTGATGGCAGAATTCTGCCGCTAAAGGGTGAAGGCTCTATCTTGCAGCAGCAGAGAGCAAGAACTCCTCATATGTTTTTCTTACTTGTTAACAAAACACAAGTTTGGTTATAGTTCAAGTGTTCTTACCATCCACGTGGCAAACATCTTTAATATAGGAAAACAGGATGGTCATCAAAATATCAAGGCGCTCTGCAAGTGGATGGGCCATTCTCTCACTACTGGAAGAGACAACTTTGTTTCCTTTTCTTTCTTCATCTTCCTCCTGGTAGATAAAATGGCAGTCATGCAGCTTTTATACACACAACATCATAAAGACAGCAATTACAGAAAAAGTGAAACCAAACATCTCTTTCAGTGATATGCTGAAGTTTTGTCTTTTTTTTGAAAAAGCAGTATCTAATTACACAGCTTAGTGTGAGCAAATTTTTGTAAACTAAGCCAACTACCATGAATTCTTTTATTAGCTTTATGTATACCTGCTTGTGTTTTTACATAATGAAATTGATTCACTGCATGTACGCTGAGTATTTACATGAATAAAGTCAACACCCGGAGAACCCATTAATCATTTGTCAGCTAATCATTTGTTCAGGTTTCAAGAGCAGTGCAGTTAACAACCAACCAATAATGTATTCCTACACTGTCTTAGTTCAGAGACACCTCAAAGGTGAAAATTTTACTAAAAAAACTTTTAGTAGAACAAGATAACCAACCATGTCAAAAAGTCCCTCCTCTCTAGATTTTTCCTCATTATCAGAGTTATTAGCAGTTTCTTCAGCGTCTTCAATATCTTGCTGTGGAGTGCTAACCTACAGTAGCAAACCAGAAATTAAGTTTTACAAGACCGTGACAATTACATGAAACCTTTTTTATTATTTATATAAGAAATGACAACACAAGTGATTTCTAGACTAGATTTTGTCCTTGACTAAATAAACATTTTAAAAGGGAATGATATGTATGTAATACACAAACACACACTCCAAACTGCCTGAAACTTTACCTCCAGAATATAAGCTTTCCCCAGACTGTTACATGCTGAGGTTCTCCAAAATAAAAAGCCTTGATCATTTACTATCCTGTCTTTTTTAAGACTGTAAACCTTTTTACTTCAAAGGGATGATAAAACAGATCAACCACACAAAGCGAAGCACATTCTCTACACATCAGCACTGATCACCATGAAACAGTTATACTGATTCTGGCATCGAGATTCCATGCAATAAACAACACACAGTTACCCTCAGGTGTGGGAACATCTTAAGATTGGGAATGGAGTGAAAATTTGGTTGGTTTTATACTCATGATCATGAGCACTACTGCAACATATTTTTTGTTGAGCTTAACACTGAAGCATATTTAATTTCTTACTCTGTGTATTTAACACCAAGCTTCCTTAAAAGATGATACAGAACAAACTTACATCCAACTTCAACAGCTTTTCAATAATAAGCTCCAGAATTTGAAGCCTCAGAGTTGGAAGGTACACCGTAACTCGTAGCAGGTTATGAACATAACATTCCTATAACACAAAATTAATTGATAGTGATAACAATATTAACAGATAGTCTCATTTCTGCCAAGGATTTTTAGAAAACAAGTTTCTTAATTCGTTACCTAAAGAGCCAGAAATAGATTTAAACAGAGTATATTCAATCTGGAATAAGTTAATGTATAAGCCAAACATCAACTTTCAATTGTTAAGCTGTGTTATCATTAACTTCTTAATCTACTATTTCCAGGCCAGTTTTTCCAACTATCTCTAGACAGAATGAGTATAAATATTCTGTAAGAAAAGTTATTCATTTCCATAGGAGTTTATGTCTAAACTTTTTCTAGGAAAATTAAACCAACAAGCATATTCCTCACTACATCTATAACTAGGTCCAGTAGAACTGTTTAAAGTGAAACTAAATACATCTTTATTTCAGGTTATTACAACATACTGACAATTCTAAATTCCACAGGTGAGTCTCCTCAGTGTCATTCTGATTATAAATGAAACAGACAAGTGTGCCCACCCATGTATACACACATATGTACAAAAGACAACGCTGCAACTTTCATATAGCAAAACTGCCAAGTCAACACATAAAATTAGGTGAAGTGCCACATTTAAGTACACCATAGTCTCTTTGTGAATATGCATTATAACACAACCTTTAATTACATGAGCACATATGATTTTTCCACAGGCCATCTGGCTTGCTCAGTACATAAAATGGATAGAGCTAGTTTAATGAGAACATATAAGTTGGAAGTATTTAAAAACAATGCATGGACCATATTTTTATTACACTTCATTAGAAACTTGCCCTGAAAACACAGTTATGAATTTCTTCACGACTTGCTCCTCACTGAGCTGCTAAATAAATAAATAAATAAATAAAAATTCTTCTCCTAACACCATGTAAGAGCTATTATCCCCCTCATTTTACAGATAGGGACCCAAAGTTATTTGGATTTAAAAAAAAAAAAAAAAAACACAACACATCAAAAAACTAGCAAGGTATACAAAGAACTTCGGGGGTTCTTCAGTGCTTGATAAGTTCGAAACACAGCTCCAATTAAACTTGGCTGGAGCAGGACTCTGCCTTTCTGTAAAATAAAGTGCCAACATATCAAGTTGGAACAAGTAAATACAAAGATCACACAAGAGCTGTAACCTGTCAAAAGTTTCCAGCTTGTTTTTCACCACACGAGCACCATACCAAAGATGTACTAAAACAACTTAACACCCTACACTACGAGCAACTTGGATTTCACCTATAATGTCCATCGCTTTCTGTCTGCTTATCAAATCCCCTGTTCTTCTGATAAATACTTCCCAGTTTTGACAACAAACGAGACAGGTATCCTACCGTCTCCTTACTATACAACCCTGAGATTCATCGTCAAAGAGGTCCATCTTGTGCATTGATTAAGAAAGCAACCCTGTGGAAAAGATATGCAGTTATGTCATTAAAGACTAGCATAATGCTTATGCACAAGGAACTTAAGTATGCTTGGACAACCTTATACTAAACAGACACACCCATATAAATACATAAATAAAATAACAAGAATCTTAAACAGTACACTCAAAAATCTGCATTCAAAGCCACCAAATCAGTTGTCATACCGTAGAGTATATTTATACATTAAAAAACAAGTGAACAAAGACTCAAAAATATTCACAGCTCTTACCAGAGTCCTTTCTGATTTATTAATGAAAGGAAAGTTTTCCACAAGTATCGGCATGAGAAATTGTGGTGTCCTACAATTTAAAAAAAAAAACAAAAAACAAAAACACACAACCAAACAAAAACAAACGAACCAAAAGTTATAGGTTATTACGAGAGCAAATATTGAAACTCCAGCACTCTAAAGACAGACTGGAATAAGCTTATTTCACAGTAACTTTATTTTAAGCTAAGTAATTAACTGTATAAAATCTGTTTTTGCAAGGATCACAGAACAGATAATAAGCAGCAAACTTTCACTGTGGACTTGTTAGAAGCCACTCCAAATACGTTGCTATAAACACGACTTTCCCTATTTCCATTAACAGGATTTTCAGCTGCTGATGCCTATGGAAATTTCATAATGATTGGATACAGCATTCCAACAATTAGTGAATATGAGGAAAAATCATGCAATGAAACTAAGTATTATACTTCCAATTAAGAGAAAAAAAACAAAACACAATTCATCAGTTCACAAGCTTTAAATCTGCAAGGAAACGGCATACAAAACCAAGGGATATGTACTTACGAAGGAACATATCTTGCAACAGTTTGCAATGCTCTATGGCATGTATTAAAGTTTTCAGAAAGGTCTAGAGAAAGAAAAAAGTACTATTATACATTTGGTTACAGAAAACTAAATCAGGAACCAGCAAAAACAGTTCATATCAACTAAACATTTTAAAGATTCCCAAGGAAATTGCATTTGCCAAAATGTTGGGGGTTTTTTGTTTTGTTTTAAAGTTGAACTGCCTTATTCCAAAATGAGCATGAAAAACAATTCCAAACAAAATTCATGGCATCACAATCAATAAACTCTGAATGCGCTGCCAGCCCCAAGGCCAGGTATTGTTGTTATATGCTCTCATATTGAACACTAAACTTCAAATCCAAAATTTATCCCACAATACACAGATATTTAGAAGATATGTTAAATTCAAGTCTGTAGATAAAGTCTATCTAAAGATTATGCCTCATTGTCACAAGAGTCAAACAAACAGATAATTAGGCTTTTGTAACAGGCTTTTTTTTATCCAGTGTCACAAGTGAACAGCAGAAGAGTAGCTGGGTCATCACAAGCAGAACTGAAATTTATTCCAGCATTCAAGATAAGAAAACATGAAATTATTGAAAGACATTTACCTATCTGTTTGCCTTATCAATAAACACACTAATTGTGTGGCATTTTTGTTATAAATATCAATTGTATTTGAGCTTACCACAGGCAGACAACAAAAAAAGAATCCCCTAAACTACGTAGTTTTATTGAGGTAAATAAAATGGAAAACAAACAACTAACTTTTCTTTGGCTTTGAAACAATCTAGGACTAGGAATGTGTTCCTATGCATTCAGTCTTATTCCTGCAAATACTGCACCAATAGGAATATTTTGAAAGTAACAAGAGTGGGTCAGTACACCACTGATTCAAGTACAAGAAAATCTTTGACTTGGGAATTTAAGGATGTACTGTTTCTTAATGTTTTACATTAACTCAGCTGAATTAATTTTGTAAAAAAGGACCAACGTGCATTGTGTACTTCTTTAGTAAAGGTATTACAGCAGCATGTATAAGCCATGCTTCCTTTATACTCACTTTCATCATCATCATCAGAATCTGAAATATCCACATCATCTTCTCTGATGGTTATTCGAGCTAGCAAAAAGTGAGATTATTATACCAAAATAGTACAAATCTTACTGGTAACAGTTTCAATGCCAAATCAAACACACTGGAAAACAGTCTCATCAGGACTACAGCATCAAAATTATCCACAAGACTTTCTAAAATAAGCAGAAGCTCATCAAAAACACTGTTTCATTCACAAAACCAGGAGGTTCTTGAGACCATCTGACATAATCCTCACAGCAGCTTTTGGTTTTTAGTAATAACAAAACTACACAGTTCATCCCTTTCCAAGGCATCTTCATAAATGGGGTCTGTATTAGCCACTAGAATATGCCTTCTAAAATCTAGGTACAGAAAACCATCTGTATCACAATTCAATCATTCAAGTTAAGAAAGTAACTTGGGAAAAAAACCAACCCAATAATTAATTGTGTCACGCATTATATTTATACATATATTTATATAACATATATATATTTATATGTTTTGATAAGCAAATGAAGAGAACTAAGAGAAAAGTAACTTACGGGGCACAAACTGCGATACAATCATCCGGAGGCATGGCCTAAGATGGACAGTTTGTGCTGACACTAGATTGCCAAGAAAACCCAGATATTCTTCCACTACCTCTCGGCTTCTTCTCAACCATGGCAGCTTCTGAAAGCAGGCAAAGACCAAGATGTCAAAGAAAGATGTTTTGAGAACTAAACTCTTAATCTTCCCATATAACAAACAGGTATTTACCAGCAAAATGTTGACCAGTTGTTCAAGTTCTTTGGTCAAATATGCAACAGAAGCTCGAAATTCATGCAGCCAATTAATGATCTGGGCATCCTGAAAATAAGCAGAAAAAATAGGTAACTATTCCAATAAACAGTATTACCTATTACTAGAAAATAACAAAATCCTTAAAATAAAAAGTCAAACATTAAGATTGTAAATAGAAATTATTTTCACATTAACATGCAAGGAATTTCTTTAAGTTTGTGTCCTCACCAATGAAAGTTCTTGAATGCAAGAACAAATGCATATCAACACCTAAACCAACAGCCTGCCTGGAAGGCTTAAGTTACTGACAGAGCAAGGCATACAAATCTCACCCACACAGAATATATTTAAAAGAAATGGCATTCAATCTTAATTTTCTTTTCTTTTTGCTCTAGTTTAAGCAGAGGGGACATTCAAGTCTTGAAATAAGAAAGATACTGCAACAGTAGCAAACCTACACAGAAAATTTTACAATGATTTTGCCTGTACACTCCAAAAGGCCTGCCAAAACCAAAGTATTTTACAAAATGTCCTCTTTAAAGAGAACTCAATACAGCATTACGCTTCCTACAGCATCTTTCTCACACCTTTGTGGTTTAATTAAAAGGGAAAAAAGAAAAAAAAGAAAAAAAAAAGGAAAGAGAAACACAGCAAATGTGGTAGGTACTCACAGCTATACAGAAGAGCTGTGAAACAATACTTCTGGGTATAACTACTCAATGCATATGTATCTTACTGCTTAATTAAACAAGTTTTTAGTGAGAACAGGAGAAGGTAAAAATTCATGCAACTTAAAAGGCTGTGAAAGTCAGAAACCGTGGTTTGATCTACACAAGTAATCTGATCATCTTTCACGGTCACTGACGTTTATCTGGAAGAAAGACAGACCCCATCACAAAGCAAAAAGTTTCTTACTCTAGAGCAAAGAATCTGTAAGCATGAGATACCATTTATCAAGTTTCTGCATATAAGATATATAGGTGTATAAACAGACAATTGCTTTTTTTTCATTTAGAGTTTTAATTCCAATAGTTTCCATAAAGCAAAAAGCTGTTAAATGCAGCTAAATGTTTAAAGCAAAGGATTTGGGTAAGCACCAGAATGACTTGTCTGATGATTACACTCAGACAGCTGAACTTCAAATCACCAGACCCTTTACTACCAAGACTCTTACCTTTATGTCTGGATCTGACAGCTGATGCTTTAACAACTCAAAATCTGTGGTGTCTCCCTAGTGGGGAAAGAAAAATAAGTAAATAACACTCATATTTTTTCCAGCAAAAAATCATGAACTTATCTGAACCACCTAATATTGTTTAACAGTAATATGAAGAATGCAACTAAGTGAGAAAGCTCAAGGAAGGCTGAAGCAGCAGTAACAGAACCGCATCCCTGAAAGACAACTGAAGCCACTGGGTGATTTTTAGCTGCTCTCCACGTAGCTGTGATCGCTCTGCACCCTTTGGCGCAAGCAGGCTTCACAGGACGTCACTCGGGTTGACTCACAGGGGAAATTTTTTCACTCGCACAGCAATACCGCCTGGCACAAGCCCACAGCACCCAGCCGCCTTCAGGTTTTTTTCCCAAGCCTTCAGACACGGTCTCGTGTAAGGCAGAACGAGCCTTCACACTGAAATCACACCCCAGGAAACTGGCACCGGCAGCACACGCAGCCTGGAAGAAGAGGAGCCACCCCAGGAGAGCCGCGACGGCCGGCGGAGCGGAGCCGCAGTCACCTTTTCGTACTTCAGCAAGATATCCGTCAGAGTCCCCCCGAACCGCACCGTCTTCCTGGGCGGGGAGCTGATGAACTCGTCCCCTCCCAGCATGGTCACGGCCCCGCGCCTGAGGGAAGGCGAAGCCTCGTGAGCACCCGCGGGCCTCACCCCAACCGACCGCCCTCAGGAGCCCGGCCCGCC